GAATGGTTCTAGCAAGCTTGCCTTCATATCTAGTAATTAAACGGATACATTTTTGAGTAGAGTAAAAGACCTATGTTTCATTAATAAAATAAAAAAGTTTAAAAGATTTGACTTTTTTGAGACTTTTGTAACTTACAAAACAACATTGTTTTGCATTCCAAAAATTTTTCGCTGTTAACAGCGAAAAAATTTTAAAAACACACTTGAAGTAAACATTTCTAAATGATACTTTTTTTTATCTCTCTTTTTTTCTTAGTTTGTATTTTTACCTTGTAAATGTATTTTACAGAGGGTGATTGCCAAAATAATAATATGTGTATACTAAGCTCTTTAATTAAGGATTGTTCTTTTACTTATTTTGATGTAAAAACGCGAGTTACTTTTAAGCGTAAATTACCTTATTTAAAAAAACTAATAAATAAAATAAAACTACATTTTACAAATAAATTATTTTCATATGTAAAAGTAACTAATTAGCAAAGACAACTTACCTAAAAGTAAAAGGTTAGTGATCATATTGAATCTTTAACGTGTTTCCTTAGTGCGTGCTTTTTCTACAAATTTTTTTCTTTACATTTCCTTTTTCGATCGAATATTTTGTTATGGTAATAAGACGGATTATAACATGTTTGATACCCACGGGGACATCGACTGCTAAAACAATTTCAAAAAATTATAAGTCATGTAAACTATCTAGTATAATATAGCTGATAAAGACATGTTTACCAGATATAATCTTCTTTTGCATTTTAGTAGTTATAATCTATCTGAAAAAAGAAGGTAAGGAAATCCGCTCAATTTTTTACTATAGGTTGTGGGCATCCAAATAACCATCTTTTCGAAGCGTTAATGTCCAACCTGCCCAAGAAAATATAGAAAAAGAAAATCTTATTCAATTGAAATAGTGCTTTAGAATAAACTTTTTTTAATTTTTTTTAACTGTTTATTTGACTTTACGAGTGGTTTATCGGTTATATATTTTCCCAGAGTATTGCAAATGATTTTTAACTACCTTTCAGACTAGCTAGAGCTCTGATACTTTCAGCATTTGTAAAAATTTGATAAACGTGCATGTTAATATTGTTTTCAGAGCCAACCGGGGAACTTTATTGAATCTTGCAATTGGTTTACGTTCTCTTCTAGACTTGTTAGAACTCTGAAACTTCTTTATTAATTATTATTTTTTATATAAATTATTATCAATTTTTTTTTCTAAAATTGGTTTATTACTTTTTAGAAAGAAAGACTTTTTACAAGATAACTTTGAAAAGACATTTTTTTGATTTACTTGTTTTAGTATTCATTTTTCTGTCGAAAGGAAATAGGTTAGTGGTTTTGATCAAAGTTTTCCGTCAAGGGACCGGGCAAAATGCAAATCACAATATTTAAACAGGCAGATTTGAATCACGTTTTTTAACCAGGTCCGTAGCAAGCTTTTTGTTTTTGTTTGCAAATTTAACTTTATGTAACGACATGGAGCAAACATATATGCTCTCACGCTAATAGTATGGGATGAAGATTTTTTAAAAATGTTTTCTGATGTTCCTAGACTCCGATTATCGCAATTTTTTGAAAAGATTTTATTTAAACATGAACATATAATAGCATATGTTCATGTTTAAATAATCAATTTTTTTAACATAATAACGTAAGTTAATTGACAAGTCGCGACGAACTATCAACCTTATAATATAATATAATAAAATATAATAGTGCTGTATACTTAAAGAGTGATGAGTCCAAACTACGTAGAGTTTGTAACTTTAACAGCTGTAACACACTAACATACAAACATAATAAAAGTTAGTATTTAAAATGTTTATCCAATTTTTTTTTGAACTGGTTGATACTGACTGCGTCTATTGTTTCTTGTTCAAGATTGTTCCAGTCGTTTACTACTCTATTTGTAAAAAAATTATGTCGTTTTATATTTCCTGTATATTGCCTTCTCAGTTTACTATTGTGACCTCTAGTTTTATATCCGTTATCTAGCATTTCGGGTTTTGTGTAAAAGTTTATAATATCGTACCCTTTTAAATATTTGAACATTTGTATAAAATCACCCCTTCTTCTTCTGTTCTCCAACGATAGTAAATCCAACTTCTTTAACCTCTCTTCATAACTGTATCCTTTCAAAATTTTAATTCTAGAAGCTCTTTGTTAGACACACTCTAGTTTATCTTTATCATACTGACGATAAGGATTTCAGATAGGAGCTGCATATTCCAAATGTGGACGTACTAAGGCTATAAACAAGAGTTTCATTGTTTTTTCGTCTAAGTATTTAAATTGTGTTTGATCTGGCCTAGCTTTTGATTTGCTTTATTTACTGCTTTATTTACATGGTGTTTACATTCCAAATCATCTGAAATGTACACTCTTTAATCTTTTTCCATGCTTGTGTAGGCTAAAGATGTATCATTCATTAAAACTTTGTGCTCGCTATTTCCTATTATCATAACCTTACATTTTTGCTGGTTGAATTTCATCAACCACTCTTTTCGACCTTTCCATTAATAAGTCTAACCACTCGACCATTCCATTAATAAGTCTATATCCTGTTGAAGTTCAATAACATCATTATCGTTTTTTATTGCTCTAAGGATTTTCATGTCGTCAGCAAATAGTTTACAGCTTAATTTTATTTTGTTCGAGATATCATTAATATACACTACAAATAATAGTGGTCCTAGCACTGATCCTTGTGGTACTCCACTCACGACCTCTTCCCATTCTGATTTATTATTTCCTATCACCATTCTTTGAAGTCTGTTCTTTAAAAATCCCTGGCACCAGTCAAATAGTTTTGATTTAAAACCAAGAGCATTCAATTTTAACAATAATCTTTCGTGATCAACTGAATCAAACGCTTTGGCTAAGTCCAGAAACAAAACTATTACATCCAAACCATTATCAATTGAACTTGTGATAAAGTCTAGAGATTCCAATAAGTTGGTCACACAACTTTTATTATTTACAAATCCATGTTGGTTTTTATTAATTAATTTATTTTCTACTAAATGTTTCATTATTTTATCTTTAATTATTTTTTCCATGACTTTACAAACTACCGATGTTAAAGATACAGGTCTATAGTTGCATGGATTCAACTTGTCACCATTTTCAAACAGTACCTTGTTCTCCAATTTTTGAAAAATTTCCTTATTAACTCTGTAAGTCTTTTCAAAAATCTTTTTCTTTCTAAAACATTCTAAAATTCTATGTTTTTTAATTTAAATATGCAGTCTCTTTTTGTAAAATATCTTGATGTGCGTTATTTTATTAAAACTTTAATATATTTTATGATGATATGAAAAAATTTTTGGCCAAGGTAACCAATTTCTGTTTCTTTGAAACAATAACTTTTAAAAAAAAAAACTTTTAAAATATATCTTATGATTACTAAACCTCGCGGCCCTGGACCCAGTTACATGAGAGAACGTTATGCTTACACTGGCGGTAACAAGGCCACTAGATATTTACATTAAAAAACTAATTTTTTTCTACACATATAAAATGCCTTTTAACTTGTTTTAACTAAGACTTTTAGGGTCTGAGGATATTTTTGAACAGGTGGATATTTTTCGAATCAAAGTTGAGAAAAAACATTACAAAAATAAAGCGTTCTTTTTTAAAAAAATTGTAGCTTCTACATTTGCGGAGTATGGAGTTATAGCCCCATAATCCAAGACTAGTTAAACCTTTTCTCTCTAGTTTTTAAATAATAAAAACATTTACGCAGAAAACTTGTGAAAAAGAATTAATAATTATGCAAATTATTTTCCTTTCAAATAGTCTATTTTTTCTGAGTCTCTCATGAGTATATGAACATGCTGCTCACTGTCATGTTGTCTGAATTCCAGACCTTTCGAATGGTTTTCTAGGTATTAAATATTTTTCAGATGGTTTGATTCAAAGAATGGTTTTTACAACCAAAAAAATCATGGACCAGGATTAGACATGGTTGTAATAATGGGGAGAAACCTATTATTGATATTTTCAAACTTTACAGGAAAAAAATACCTAAAACTAAATATCGCCGCAAACTAAATGTTAGTTACTTAAAAATTTATTTTTTTGCATTACTGTTGTACAAGATTCTCTAAAAGTCATTGTAGAATATTTTATTAATTAATTAATATATTAAGTTATTAAAAGACTAAGCTATTGTAGAACATAAGTAAATTTACTTATTTTATATAGATTACTTTTAATTCACTTTGAAAATTATATAAAATGAAATCTTAAGTAATTTAAATTTTACTTTATATAATTTATTTTTAATAACTTAGTTATTAAAAATAAATTATATAAAGTAAAATTTAAATTTTAAGAGTAATTAATAGTAATTAATCAGATAGTAGCAAAGAACCAAATGAAACAAATTGAGATAACAAAAGTTTGAGTTAAACAGTGTGTGACTAACCGGCATTTTACTGTATTATGCAAATTAATAAAGTTAACGTCAAATTAATAAAGTTAGTATCAATTACGTTGACATCTAAATAATCTTTCGTTAAAAAGCTAACCTTTTAAAATCAAAAGTAACCAACTATTTAAAATAAACTAATTATTAAAAAAAATTAATGAAGTCAAGTAAAAATTTAAATTTTTGTGGAAATATAGTAAAAAAAAAAAAAAAAGAAGCGTTTAGTTTTAATTAGTATTTCTGAATGTATTTTGTTTTTTTCAATATTAACACTATTATTCAAAAATGTGTACATAAATATATGTCGAATAACATTTTCAAAGTAATACTTAGCTGGGATATGTTGGTGTATCCGGTTTTTTAAAGGTTGTAGCAGCACGGCTATATGTAAAAAATACCGGTTATACGAACCTAGCGCATGACTAGTACTTGTTACTGCTATAAAAATATTTTCTTTTCAATTGGAAAATAAATAATCTAATTGTGTAAAAAAATACAATTTCATTTGTAACCTACTATGACAAACTTTGTATACCAAAAGTTCGTATAAAAATGTACATTTTTTCATAAGGTGCACGTCGTCAAGGCTGGGAAAATGATATAGTAGATATCTCTGATGTTGGATTATCTTCATTTTCTTCTAATAATATTTACGACAAAGATATTTCGGAAAATAATGATTTAATTGAAGATGTAGAGAAAACACCATTTAAAGTTAAAGAAAAACTTATATCTTCATTGCAAAAAACACTTTCTGATAAAGACATGTCGACAGACGAAACCAAAGAACTAGATGAAACTGAAAAAAACTTGGCACTTGAAAAAGGAGAACCAATAGAACTTATAGAGGACTCTATCGCTGAGGAAAAAGAAGCTTCTGGCAAACCTGAAGTATCTGACATTGACAGTTTATCTGAAACTGATAGTAAAACAACAATAATTGAACAAAATCTGATGAAAATTGATAAACCTAAGTTGGTTCATTTGCTTGGTAAGTTATTTTAATCTCCTTTTTGTAACCATTTTTGCATTAACTTTTTTAGTGTATTTTTTTTTTATAAACAATTAAAATATATAATTGGGTTTCTTGCATCGTTTTATATAAACGTTTTTTACTTTTCTGGAATAAAACTGAAATTTTAGCGTTTCAATAAAATTTTAGTGAATTAATACTTGCGTATGTGAACATACTTCCTAAAAAGACTTGTAGAAATTAAATAATTTACAAAAATTATAAAAACTTGTTTGAAAAAAACAAAAAAATACTCAAAAAAGTTTATTCAAATTTGTTAAAAAAAACAACTATGGAAATACTAAAAAACGTGGAATACGATTAAAGCGATTGTCGGTAAAGGTGAGCTTCCACTTATCCGTTTTTTCACGGGAAAGGAAAAAATAATCACGTGAGCATGCGTAGTTTTCCTTCGGACATATTAAAACTTATACTACGCATGCCCACGTGATTATTTTTCCCGTCCCTTTCCCGTTCCCGTAAAAAAACGGATGAGTGGAAACTCGCCTTAATAATAATTATACAAAAAGTAATCTGCAAAAAAACTTTCAATTGATGGTAAGTTAGTGATTTTTTTTTTTATTATTTCATTAAAAATTTTTTTTTTTGTTTTTTATTACAATGTTTAAGATACAAATACTAATATACAAGAGAAAAATTAAAAGTGATTAAGATGATTTTGAGTGAATGGTCGTCGAATACTAATTGCTGTTTTCTTATCCTTAAAACCACTCTTTCTTCTTCGTTTGATACATATAGAGCTCTTGTACCGTTTTATAATCATATAAACAGTGCCGTTTAAACAATTTTGCTAGATTCAGATGCTTTAGCGATTGAAAGTAACAATGTAGAAGGATTTTGTAGATAGTTGTGCAGAATTTTTTTTCGATTTTCTAACTGTTTCAATGACATTTTAATAAAGAGAAATATTTTGACTCGTTTGTTGATGTTTTACTATCATTGCTTAATGTAATTACGTAAAAAAAAATAATGGTTCTTTTTCCCAGCCTCAAATCGTCGCTATTTTTTGCAAAGCATTTGTCATAAGTATAAACATACAATTGTGTAGAGTTTGTTCCATGTCTGGAATACAAAAAATCGGCTTAATTACAAGAAATTTACAATTTATAAAGAGATGAATGGTTTTTTCTTTTTTTTTAATTGACGCTATTAAGTGGTAAAGTGACATTTTAAACCTGAACAAATAATATTTTTTATAAATATATCATTTTTTTACAAATACGTCGTAAAACGGGCGGGTACAATTGTACTCGCTACAAAAAAGAATATTTTTTCATAAAAGTTACACTGTATGAAAAGTCCATAAAAAACTTTTCATTCAATGATGCCATTTTTTTGGAGTTGTTCCTTGTCATTTACATCTAAATCTTAAATATGTTTTAATAGCAATTATTTTAAAAGTTTTTAAATTAATTGCAATCAAAACATATTTAATTTAAGTTAATAATTATTTTAAAATTATTTAAATGTTTTACAAAACATTTAATTGTTATAATTTGGTGAACGCATTTATTTGTTATAATTTTTAAACAACATTTATTTAAATTAGAATAAACTTTTAGAGGCAATTAAAAAAAAAGAAAAAAAAACTCTTTTCTTAAACAAAATGAATATATTTTAAGAACCAAAAATTTAATTTACTTTGATTTCTTTGAATGAGCTTTAGAATAATTGCAAGATTTACATAGCAACAAGATTCACGTAGCAACAAGATTAACATAGCAACAAGATTCACATAGCAAGTTGATATTGTTAAACTATTATATTACTATTAATGATTTTAAACTTAAAAAAAAATGAAAGAAAGGAAATTTAATATTACGGTTACCCGTCATTTAATAATGAAATTTTTTTTTATATTTGTTACTTTTTGCAGCAGTTAACAGATTTTTTTTAAATCCGCGCCTTTTGCAGCAGCTGATAATTTTTTTTTAAATACTTACCATCTTTCCCAGCCAACACAAACACATGTTTTTAGAATCTAAAATGTTAACACTTTTTAGACGTCACCTTTAGACGTCTAAATTCAGATAACTATAAGACATCTAATTTATCTTTGACAAATATTAGCTGTCTCAAGCCGTCTAAAAGATGACTACTAATAGATGTCTTATACTTATCTGAATTTAGACATCTAAAAGTGTTAACATTTTAGATGTCTGTATTCAGATAAATATAACAAAAAAAAAAGTCTAAAAGACGTGTTTGATTGAAAATTGTGTTACAAACGATTTTGATAAAATTTTAATTTATAAATTTTTTATTTTATTTACAAATTTTTTTGGGGGGAAAAGGCGCTTATGATTGTAAAGCGCCTATGATGGCATACCGGTCATATTTTCATAAATATTGGTAATAGCGAAAAAAGTGATTAAATCAACATGTCTACTGACTTTACATTAGTTTTAGTAAAAATACGTCCCTTATGCACAAGTATTGCTTTTATAATCAACAAAAATCGATTTTGGGATGTGCTGTTGTATTTTAATCCCTTTAAATATTTAAGAATGTTATTTTATAATTAACTATGCAGAAATAAAATTTTCATGCATTTTATTTCCAAGTTTTGTGCATTTAGTGGAATACTTATTTTAATTCTATCTTTTGAAAAAGGTAGACATCACTTGTTTAAATGAAAATGATGACTTCTTCCTATGATGGAATACTGATAAGTTAGGTGTGTTGCAATATTTAGGAGTTGAGAAAACCTTTTTTCTTTTCATAAAAACAACAGATTTGTTAGTGAAGTAAAAAGGAATTTTTACTTCACTAAAAAATTCAAAAACACATAAAACATGAGATATTATATGCGCATGCGTGAAATTCTACTTTTCTGCTGTGTAGCACGAAAGGGTTAATTAGGATAATTACGAATATTTTCTGGCATTTCTGAGGAAAGACTCTAAGGTCAAATAAAATCGTCAAGTTACCCTTGATGCTAACCAACCCCTTCCTCCCCTATACCATCATAGGAGCAGTAGTTGCCTATGATGGCATACTTGTGCTTTTTTTAAAATAAAAATAACTAATCAAAAAATAAAACTGATAAAAACTCTTAGGATTATTATTGTTCTACATATAACAAAGAAATCTTTTGTTCTTGGTCTTCCATATCAAAACTTTTGTTCTTGGTCTTCCATATCAAAACTTTTGTTCTTGGTCTTCCATATCAAAACTTTTATTCTTGGTCTTCCATATCAAAACTTTTGTTCTTGGTCTTCCATATCAAAACTTTTGTTCTTGGTCTTCCATATCAAAACTTTTGTTCTTGGTCTTCCATATCAAAACTTTTGTTCTTGGTCTTCCATATCAAAACTTTTGTTCTTGGTCTTCCATATCAAAACTTTTGTTCTTGGTCTTCCATATCAAAACTTTTGTTCTTGGTCTTCCATATCAAAACTTTTGTTCTTGGTCTTCCATATCAAAACTTTTGTTCTTGGTCTTCCATATCAAAACTTTTGTTCTTGGTCTTCCATATCAAAACTTTTGTTCTTGGTCTTCCATATCAAAACTTTTGTTCTTGGTCTTCCATATCAAAACTTTTATTCTTGGTCTTCCATATCAAAACTTTTGTTCTTGGTCTTCCATATCAAAACTTTTGTTCTTGGTCTTCCATATCAAAACTTTTGTTCTTGGTCTTCCATATCAAAACTTTTGTTCTTGGTCTTCCATATCAAAACTTTTGTTCTTGGTCTTCCATATCAAAACTTTTGTTCTTGGTCTTCCATATCAAAACTTTTGTTCTTGGTCTTCCATATCAAAACTTTTGTTCTTGGTCTTCAGGATATTGAAAAACCAAGCTTCAAAGTTAAGTATGCCATTACAGGCGTCTTTCCCCTATATATTAATAATAAATTGATAAATAAATTTAGTGCTTGATTAGATTATTTAAATCATTTAAGTCATTTAAATGTTTAAATTTATTATTACTTAAATGTTTATTTATTAAAATATAAATTTATTATTATTTTTTATTATTATTAAAATATAAAATTATTATTATTAAAATTATCAATTATAAAATATTATTAAATTAAATTTAACTTATTTATGATTAAATTTAATTTAATTTTATTATTAAATTTATTTAGATTATTAAATTAATTTAAATTTATTCTTATATTAAATTTAACTTATTTATTATTAAATTAAACTTGAATTATTATTATTTAAATGCAATAAAATGGAAATTAAATAAATATTTTCTGATTTATAACATTTTAAAGGGTTTTTGTTTTTTTTTTATTTACAGCAACTTTTATTAGAGATAATGAAATAAAAGAGGAAGGCCAAAATGAAATAAACGAATCAAAACATTTGGCACAAAAAATAAAAGAAGAAAACTCATTGTTGTTTAAAGAAAATCTTCATTTAAAAGCGCTTGCCACAAAATTGCAAAATGCAGAAAAAATCGAAAAATCAAAAGGATTAAAAGAGTTCAAACATGGTGAGTAATAGAGTTTAATTTATAACTCAATACAAAATGCATTTAAGTATTTAATACTGCAAAAAAAAAGAAGGTAAAAAAATAATAAGCCAGAACATATATTTAGGGGTCGTCCATAATGTACGTACGCTTTTTTTTCGTCGACTTCCTCCTTACCCCTCACCCCCCTCCTCGCATTTTGCAATACGCTTTTTTGTGTACTCTCTACCTCCCTAAAAGTACCAACGCTTTTAACCTATTTATCTAACATTTTATAATATTTTTTTAAATTTAATTCTTCTTTCTTTTGTAATTGACTCACTGCCCTCCCATCTCATATACGCCATTTGCAGAGCCCCTCTGCCCCTCCGAGCGTTTTAAGTTTAAAAACCTCAAACTTCATTAAATATTATTTTAAAATCCTTCAAATTCATTTAATTTAAATAAACAATAAAAATGACAATTATATTGTAAAACATATCTGAAAATTATATTAAAAAAGTGCCTTTAGCTATAGTCGATTTGGTTTATTTACCTCCTCTAAATTAGTGCATGTATTAATATACATCCGCAACGTTAAATTGTAATCAGAGAATCGTGTTTAAGAAGTTGCTACCTAGAGCTGTTAATGGGTCAGGTCTGGGTAGGGTATAAATGGACACAGACCCGACTTGTATATAAGGCTCTGGGGTTAGATTCGGATATCAACAAACCTTATACGGATCCGTACCCGTTTACTTTACGGATTTGAGTCTAGACATGCCCCGATCGTGATAAAACAAAAACAAAAACGGTGCGTAGCATTTTTTGGTGTGGGCTATTGAGTGCGCGTGTAGCATTCTTTAATGTTGGCTATTGAGTGCGCGTGTAGCATTTCTTGGTGTGGGCTATTGAGTACGCGCATAGCATTCCTTGGTGTGGGCTATTGAGTGCGCGTGTAGCAATTCTTGGTGTGGGCTATTGAGTGCGCGTGTAGCCACAAAAAATTAAAATTTAATTAAAGTAGTTTTTCTCAGTTTACATTGATAAAAATATTTAGAAAAATTAACCATAAAAAAGTACAATAATGAGTATCCAACTGGTTATTTATCTGGATTATTATCACAATCAATCTATTGTGGCTATTGTGTATGTCTTCCTCATAAAATGTAGATTTTATTTAATTTTTATAAAAAAAAAACGATAAAACTTCTGTAATAAGTCCTAACGGTCTTCTTACAGAATACCTCTTGTTTATGAATTTTTACGCTGCTTTCCTCAATTATGTCACGAATATGGTCAGAACAGGAAGCGAGTCTCAGTCCTCTTAATTTTATGGCTTTTATCACCGAAAGTATTATTTCTTTTTATCGGCATAGGGTAAAACACCCAGTGTTCGCCACTTTTTCAGACTTAGTCCGATATAAGTATTTATTTCTCACTCGTTTTTACATAAATGATAAATATTTTAATCTTAGCCGATCGATAGTTAGTCTTTATGATGACTATAAAATAAATTACCTCCGATAATAAAACTGGGAGCTATAGCACCCGTAAAAGCCAAATGGCGACCACTAGCATGAAACATATGTTCGCTATCTGATAATTTTTTTTGTTGCTAGTGTTCGCCACAATTATTTATTTTTTTTTTTAAATAGGTTTTTTTCTTTTTGATAAAGATTTATTTTCAAGTCTAAACTATTGTTAAAGAATCAAAGTTTTTTTTTTTTTTACTTTAGTTACAAATTAAACTAGAAATCCCCGGTCATATCATTGCGTGCAATCTAAAAAAAAAAAGAGAGAAAATGACATTAATAAATAAAATGTGCAAATGTTTTTATGTATTTTTTATTAATTTAATAGTACAACAGCATGATCATAGAGTAGTCACTTTGAAATTGTTCTTACCTGAATGAGATGCTGTTTTAGACTTTCTTCTTTTGTTTGTATTGGCTTAGTATACACAACTTTTTTTTTTACTGGGGGTTTTGATTTCTTCGCCAACTCAGTTGCTAAGCGTTTGTCTATTCTTTCAACTTTTGCTTGCTCTTAGACTTTCTTTTTCTCTTTTATTTCCGTCAGAAGAGATACAACTTGATCGATGTCACAACGGATGCTGATTGAAGCTCTTGCGCAACAGTGAGAACTTTAGCTAAAAACAGTTTATAATTGTACGATAAAGAAAGTTTATTTTTATGACCATACATATTACTAAGTTCAATATTAAAATAAAATTAAATAATAAGTATTTAAATTTAAATATAATTATTCATATATGTTCTGAAAAGTACAAAAAGGTTTCTATTCAGTAAAATTATAAATTATCAAAAGTAGCGACTTCTAGAAAGTGAGTTTTGCGAAGACTAGAAAATATTTAACTGCTTATTGCACAGTTGTTTTTAAATAAAATTAAACCATACCCATACCGACAACTGTGCAAATGGTCATTTTTTACAATAAAGGAAAAAAAATCAATTTTTTTTGATTTTTTTTTGGTGGGTTAGTTATCACCACCAAACCTTTACCTTATCCCACGCCCACCCTTTTCAAATTCATCCGCTAATTATTTGTTTATAAGATACTCAAGCATCTTAATAACAGTCTGACAAAAAAAAATGCCATAAAATTATAAATATCTGTTTTTTCGGTGATTATCCAAAAGCTTATCGAAAATTTGTCATTGACAATTAAGGATTTTTGGGCAAAGTTTTTTTTGCAATAAACCCTGTGCCTTTATTTTTAAAGCTACGATCGTCAAATTTTCGTCAATTATAAAGCAAACATCAAAGTTTTTTTTAAAAGCAATTTTGAAACTTTCTAGCAATTAGTTTTAGTTATATATATATATATATATATATATATATATATATGTATTTGCATAAATATTATCTTTAGCGTTGTGTTTATTTTTGAGAGATTCCGCGAAATTTTTAATGTTATAAAAATATGCTAAAAGCTTTTCTTTTAGAATTATGGACAGAGGTTAAAATTAAACAAAATTTGATAAGAAAACTCATAATCTCAAAAAAGCATTTTAAAAAAACCGTAAATGAAGGTTTAAAAACTAGGAAAGACAATAAAAACCTGTCTAGACGCCTAAGTTAATATTTCTCTTAAGGTAAACTTACTTGACGTGTCAAATAACCTTAAAGCAAGCAATTTAATAAAATTGATTCAAATTCCATGTTCTTCTAAAATGCTGATTTTAAAATCTTTACAACCTCAAGAATGTTGATTTTCAACCTTTCAAATGTTTATTAAAAACTCTCAAATGTTATAGGCAACCTTTCAAATGTTGGTTAGTAACCTTTCAAATGTCAATCAGCTATTTTTTAATTGATGGTTAGTTTCATTTGTTAGTTAGCAACATTCCAAATATTAGTTGGCAACCTTTTAAATGTTGATTAGTAAACTTTTAAATGTTTATTATTAACAATTTAAATGTTAGTTAGTAACCTTTCAAATATTAGTAAGCAACCTTTCTAATGTTGATTAGCAACCTTTCAAACGTTAATTAGCAACCTTTCATATGTTGATTAGCAACCTATTAAATAAAGATTATTATTAATCAACCTATTAAATGAAGATTATATTAAACTTGTTATTGTGTCATTTTTTTATAAAAATTTATTTTTAATATTGCTTAAATATATTATTATAAAATAGTTGAAAAATAAAATAAAGTTTATTTTGATAAAAATTAACATTTAGGTAGCAATCTTGAGTTAGCGAGCAGCCTTGATCACGACCCCTATGCAAATATAGGCAATACAGACCCGCTTAATGCAGATAATAATCTATCAAGAAAAATAAAAAAACAACCTCATAAAATTTCTGCCAACGAAGATGATAAGGGTACACCAGACAAAAAAGAAGATCAAGACGAAAAAAAAAAAGTGCTTGAAGCACTTGATTTAGAGAAAAAACTAAAGGAAGAGAAAGTTGCTCTTAAAGATGAAGAAATAAAAGAATCTAACCTTGCAAACTTAAAAAATAAGCAAGATATTGAATCTTCCGGAGATTTTAAGGAGGGAAAAGAAGTTGAACAAGATAATGTTGATATAGAAGTTCAGCTTGAGAGACAAGAATTAAAAAAACTAAAAGCTTTGGAAAAAGCTGAAAAAGAAAAAGAAATGGAGTTAAAAGCATCTTATGCTGTTATGTCAAATAAAAACAAAGAAGCCACTGCCGCCGCATCAGAAGAAGCAAATGACGATGAAGTTAAAGACGAGGAACAAGTAAACAAAAAAGTTTCAAAAGTACAGAAAGGGCACCTAGTTTCTCCTGAACTTGTTAAAGCAATTGCTGATCAGCTACAAAAGCATAAATCAACAAATGACAAAGATACTTCGCAAGAAACGGAAAGTTTAAAAGAAGATTCCAAAGAAGATGCAAAAGAGGTGACTAACAATAATGAAGTTGCAAACGAAAACGAAACAGACAATGAAAAAATAAAAGAAGATGAAAAAAGCGACGATGAATCTTTAAATGTTCAAACTTTAATTGAGCATATGAAACAAAGTTTAATCAACGCAAAAAAAATTAAAACCAAAAATGTCTTAAAACAAACGGAAAAATTAAATAAACATCATAAACCAACGTACGACGATGCTTATGCGCAAATCGGCTCTCAAGATATTAACATAAAACGAAGTCGAAAATTTGCCAAAAAATCATTAACAAAATTATCGCGCGATAAAAAACATCATGTCCACCACTCACATTCCCTTAAAAAGCAATAACCAACTGAAACATTTGAAATTTTTAACTTCTTTTGGTTGTTTGTTATCATAAAAATATTCTAAATGATACATACACAAAAAAAAAATTTACGGCTGTGGAATGAACCTCAGTTTGTGGTTAGTTATTGAATAGAATGCAGCCATCACTTGTAGCAACAATACCATCACTTGTAGAAACAATACGGTATTTTGAAAGAGAATATTGGCTTCATAATTTTTTTAATATTAGTAACATAATTTTTCCATTCAAACACATTACAGAAATAAACTTCAAATATATTTGTACAAAATTTGTTTAACAGTTTATTCTTTATAACAAATTAACTTTTGTAAATTTTTAGTTTCTGAACTTATTGCCAACTAATATAATATTTAATTTGTAATAACTTGAGTATTTAATATATAATAACTTAAGTTATGTCACGCCTAATGGTTTTATTTAAATTTTTTATGTAACGCAGTTAGGCATGTACGGGAAGATAGCAGGTCAACTGAAATGTTTATCTGGCCTAGTATTTTTTTTTAGGTAAATCAATATAGGCCCAATGATTAGAAAATATTATTGAAATTATTTATCTGGCTTCTAAAACAACTGCATTAACACGGCATATAGCAACTGTAAAACAAATACTTAGGAAAATATAGTAGATTGCATATACCTTAAAAAAAAAAAGTGTGACTGGTTTGTAGAATTTATAAGATAAGTATTTGCTCAATTTATTGGATAAGTATTTGCTCAATGTTTTTGCTCGATGAGCTCAAAAAAAGTGATTTTAAGGTAGAATTTCAGCCTAAGGGGCTGTCCATTAATTACGTCAACAAAATAGGGGGGAGGGAGGGTCTGAATTTTTTTGACAATTGTTGACAAGGGGGAGGACAAAAAAAGTTGACGTCAACACTTCATTTTTTTTTAAACACTTTACTTTTTTTTATAAATTGAACTATTTAGAAAAAGGAAAATTAGGCAGCGTTTGTAGACCTAGCCGCCATTATACTTAAGGACTCCGGGTTCAAACAGAGATTGTTCCTCTAACCTAAAAGCTTTAACTTTTTTACCAACCCAAAAGCATTTTTATATTATTAGAGCTCCTAGATACCAAAAACTAGGAAAAATTAATCTTTTTGTGACATTCAAATCTGAAGTCCTTTCAGGTACTCCGCATCCCTAAATATAACATTATAATAAAGATGTTGGTAGCTCATTAAAAACTGAAAAATTTTGTATATTGTAACTTTTGTCTCAAAAGGATGCCAACCCCTGGTTTATACAATTTGTTAAATGCTTTTTTTGTTATACTAGACTCTATTAAAAATAATTCGCTTTCAATGCAAATTTTTATTAGGTATAATGTTAAAGTGAGGAGAACTTTTTTAATTTGAAATATGATTATAATTTTAACATGTGAACATTTTTTTAACCATTTAATCTTTTTTTTCTTAAGAGAAAAAAAAGATTAAAGGGTTTACAAAAAAAGGCTTTTTTTTTTAAATATATTTCGCTGTTTATATAAAAATGAAATAATAAAATTACAATGAAACTTTTACATTACACAAAGAATATATATAAAACAGACAGGGGCTCAAAGAAGATAAGGATGACTGGTGTTACCACAATCTTTTCATTGAGCCCCTTTACAATATCATTTAAAGCCCACATGGCTTTAGAAAATTTACGACAAATATTTTATCTGTTAAATACTACGTGAAGAATAAAGAAAAACTCATACATACATATATACTCATATATACATATACCCATAAAAATACACACATATACAAACATACTTACATATATGTCAGAAATTAAGGAGATGCAGTTTCATTTGTTGTTTAAAAGAGAAAGCTCTTTTCAAATTTTTTATATTTCTATTTTTTAATTGATTCCATGATGACGGGCCTTGGTTAATAATTAAGAACTTCGGCACCTGCGATTTTACTATGCATAAGTGATAGTTATGTTTGTTATTTGACTGAAGATTGTATTTTTGTGAAAATATCAGAAAACACTTTTAGCAGCAAGTTATTTTTTATATTTATACAAAAATATTAATATTTGAAGCGAATTAAGTTTTGATATATTTAAAACATTTATGTATTTCATTACAGGAGAAGGGTTTTTAATCTCTTTAAATAGTTAATTGCTTTACATGCGTGGTTTTGTGGGCTCTGTAATCTTAATAACTTAGTTTTGTGTGTATTAGCCCAAACAATATTAGCGTAGGAGAGATGACAATGAACAAGACTGAAGTAAAGCATTTTGCGTGATTTATAATCAAGAAAGGCTCTAGATTTATATAATACACTTATAACAGAAGATATTTTTGCTTCAATGAGACTAATATGTTTTTTCCATGATAAGTTCTCATTAAATATTACTCCAAAAACTTTGAATGATTTACTCGATTTATTTCATTTTTATTGATTGACAGTTTTGGCAACTTTAATGGAAGATTAGTTGGTTATTTTATTTTATGGAAGAGAGTATAACTTGTTTTTTAACAATTTAATTATAACTTATTAGCTATAAACCATTGGTTCAACCTTCCTAGTTCAGTGTTCATTGTTTCGAGCAATATTTTTACATCAGAGTTGTTGTATAATAAATTTGTATCGTCTGCATACATAATTGACGATATTTTATGAGAAGCTTTATTCATATCCTTGATATATATTAAAAATAATAAAGGTCCTAAATTTGATCCCCGTAGGACTCCGCAAACAATATCAAGAGCTCCTGACTCCTCCAGGACAACAAACTGTTTTCTATTAAAAAGATAACTCCTAACCCACTTATATGTTAGGCCTTTAATGCCGTAATGCTTTAGCTTTGAAAGCAAAATTCCGTGATCAACAGTATCGAATGCCTTAGTATCGAATGCCTTCAATGCCTATCAAATGCCTTAGTATCGAATGCCTTAGTATCGAATGCCTTAGTATCAAATGCCTTAAGGCATTTAATACTATTTCAATATCAATATATTGATATATTAGATATGATTTTATTTCACAAGAAATAAAAGGTGTCAGAAAAAAAAAAAAAAAAAAAAAAATTTAAAAATATGATTTTTGATAATTTTAACATTGCTGAAAATGATGGTGTAACTATTTTTTAATAACTTCAATTTTATAAGCTACTATTTTGCATTTTGTTAGGTATGATATGAAGTAGCCTCCTTAGCAACGCCCATAGCAACAGAAAAAAAGCTGTATGAAAACTTTTGTTTAATCACTGTTTTAATATGTTTTCGTGTTCTGCAATAATAAAAGGTTTAGTTTAGGGACTAACTATGCTCAGGTTTAAAAATAAAACTGTTTTACTTATTGAAATTGCATCATCTCACGATCATTTGATTACTAACTTCTTGAGACAAAACCATTAAACTAACACAAATTGTGTTGAGAAAATGTTTACCTAAAATATTTTTATAGGTTAATAAGTGAAATGTACAATGGGTAATTATAAGAATACTTGAACTCAACTCAAGATAACAAGTTAACATTACACAATTAGTACACAATAATAAAACTGTAATAAAACAAAGTAAAATAAACAATAATAAAACAAAAATTCTATAATAACATAACTCATAACTCAAGATAACAATACTTCAAAAAAAGTAAAAATGCAGATGCAGGTGAAAACCATTCTCTTAAATTAAACTTGCCTTAATGGATTTATAAAATTATCAAGAAAGATTTTGATGAATTAAGCAACAACAAATTATTGAAAAAATGTCTTCATGGGCTAACTCAAAATTGTATTGAAGGACTAAATAATATTATCTGGTCCCAAAGTCCTTAAAATGTTTATGTAAAAACAGATGATCTTGAAATGGGAGTAAACTCAGGGGTTCTTTCTTTTAATGAAGGTTCATTTGATATTTATTGTGTATTTAAACATTCAAATCTAAACTTAGGAAAAAATACGATAACCAGTTCAATAAAAAATGACCAAAAGCGGTTAGAGAATATGGTAAAAAAAGAACAATCATAAAAATAAATATAAAGAAGAAAAGAGCTGAGAGGAATTAGGAAAGGTTGGATTGATAAATATCAAGAATAGTTATCCAAATATATTTACAAGAAAGGATATTTTAAAAAATTTTTTTTACTTATTTGCCTTTTATCTAAAAATGAAGATTTTAACATAATTTATGAACTCAAAATACGATATTTCAACATTAAAAAATGCCTAGATCTACAAATTTTTCCCAATTGTTCAATACATGTATATGTAGAGAATAAACTAGAATCTAGATAATTGAATGAATATTTATCAATTTCTAAGTCTTTTTTGAACCTTACCCCCCTAGAAATTAGTCAATTTTCAGTTTTTTGGGACTTAAAAGAAATATTTTTGTTTGTATATTATGATCTTAGTTCATCCTTAATATTATATATCAGAAAATAATATTGTAAAGTACCAAGTTGTTTTAATTAGCCATTCTGGAATAATCGTGTTTTGAAAACTAAAATAAAATATGCTTTTTTGAGTTTTTTGATTTGTTTTTTATTAAAAAAATCCTCTTTTTTTTTTTTTTTTCAACAAACTTGTATATTTTATTATTATTTTCATTAAATTAAATTTATAAAACTCTTTGTATTTTTAAAAGTTTAAATTTTTTTTTCTATACCTTTTACTTTAATTCACTTTTTGTTCAGAGCAAGCATTTGTAATTTTAAATGATTATATTCATTTGAAATATGTTCAAAAGTTAAAATTTAAATACATTTTTTTTTAAACATTTTACTTTGAACAACTTTTTCTTTCATTTGTAAACTAGTAAATTTAAAACAATTTTTTCTCCATCTTAATTTTTTTTTTCTTTATCGGGGGGGGGGGGGTTATCAAACGTTGACGTAATTTTAATAGGGGGTCACTGAAAGTTTGACAAGTTGTTGACAAGGAAAGGGGGAGGTAAAATTTTCAAAAAATTGTTGACGTAATTAATGGACAGCCCCTAAATAAAAACTCATTTTAAATTTTCTTTTTAAATGAAGTATGTTCAATTTATTTCTTTTGAAATACGCTCTGTTCCAAGAGGTGTTAACAAATATCTAGTTATTTTAAGTTGTCTTAGTCAAGGTGAAACATATTGAGTTAAAGTTGTAAGAAAGGTTCATTATGTTTGGTTGTCTTGAGAGAGATTTTCCTGTACCAAAACAACATTGACTCCGTTTTACCGACTCTAAGGTTGAGTATTAGCTCGTTTTTTATGCACCGTTTTGAGATTTCTTCAATATCAGATAATAAACGCAATTCTATAAAAAATTTATCTTTTCTGGGAACGTATATAACTGTGTCGTCAGCATAAATAATAGTTTTAAATGTTT